TGAGATTTTGAAAAGAATATAATTTTGCGTGTTGAACATTTGTAAATACAATACAGTTATAAGTTTTTAACTGAGGCGTATAAAATCTAAAAGTATTCACAAAAATATTTTCAGCCTAAAATCGGCAGAAAAATAAGAATATTCAGTTTCGACCGGAAAAACAATATTCTAGCAAAAAAAAACACAGTTTAAAAGTTTGCTTTATATTGCTGGGTCCTACTATTAGGCCGCATACTATAAAGCGTTACACCATGCATAAGGTAGTAAACTCGTGATTAGCACAAAGGAAGGCTAGTTCAGAAATAAGCTTTAATCTCGTGATTACGAGTCAGGTGCGGCGCCATTATATTTCAAAGGTTACGAATTGTTGATTTCGATGTACATCGCAGGGTCCTAGCTAAAGAAGCTGAAATAATCTTCAAGTTTTAATACCAAGAGCGACTGCAAGGTTTACATAACACGTTTCTCTACGAAATTATCAACAGAAAAGAAAAACGAGATTCAAAAGGCCAGAAAGGTTAGTGAGAACAAACCGAGTTTTAACAGATAACAAAATTACATAATATTCGCCAGGCTTTTCCAGACCTTTCCATAGGTCGTCCAGAGTTCGGGACAGAATAATTCAACATTTATATAAGCTATTTCAACCGTTCCTCGGTTTTATTTGTACGGGATATTCTGCATGTTAGACATGAATGAAATATAGCTATTGAACCGTTTCTGAATTTGTGTGATAGCCTAATTTGCATAATGAGTTTGATATACGCAGAAGAACGAAACATCGGAAAGGGCAGTGAGAAAGGAAGATAAAAAACACAAGGTATCTTTACCTTTCTATGCTTTCTAACCTTTGCTTAATAGAATTTCATTGAAGTTTATTACAGCCGCCGGGAGTGGACTTTAGAAATAAACGCTAGTAAAGACAGCGTAATTCAACAGTCTTACTTTCATAGGTTTACAGAAAGTGATCTGTCAGGTGTTAACAGATTTTCACGAATCTCTAAATCAAATTACATCGAAAGTTATATGCATTTCTAACCTTTAGGAAATTTGCGCCCAAAAATATTCCCACGTACAGACTTTTTCAAAACTTACCATACGGTAAGGCAAAGATCAACGTTTGCCAAAGAAGAAAAAAATGGGGGTGACCGTACTCGTTTTCAAAATAAGACACATTATACACCAGGGGTTTTTAGAAGCTTTAGTTGTTTTAAGACGATCTGACAGGGACACCCAACGGATCATTTCGGTAAATTATCTGTTCAGAAGGCTTTTTAATCCCCTCTGATTTTCTTAAGAGAATTGTCACCTCGAACTTTCGTGATATGAGAAATTTAATGTCTGTTGTTTCCGGATTGTTAAAAAGGTCGTTTTGGGTACCGAAAAAAGGTTAGCTATCATTTTCGGAAAGGCGATAAGACCTAAGGTTTTCGGGAAATGGACAAAAAATCCCTAATAAATTCGAGAATACTCAGGTTCCCCTAGAATAACCGAACAGATAAAAAAATTTTAACGCAACCTAAAATTAACCTACAGAGCTTTAAAAGTACTCCAGACAGCCTAAAACAGCGTTTAAAAGCATTCGAGAGAAAACGGTCGTTGGGTGCCCCTGGATCTAAAGCAAAACTATTTTCCGACCTGGGTTGCAGCGGACCACTTTTAAGGAGACTGCCATGCACTTAGTTGGATTCTCTTTCATAACTGTCTTCTCTCTTCTTCTGCCCATGAACAGCCAACTAGCCGGTCAACATTCTCGTCCCCGGAGGCCGCGCTCCTTTTGGTCAGCACCAAGAATCGTGACCTCTGGGCTGCTCCAACACCGGAAGTCCGCAATTCACGGACCTCCCGTGAAATCTGACAAATCTGATTGGCTGTGAATACGAGCCGAATGCTCTGCGCATGCTCAGAAAATCGGGTTTGGCCAGAGTGCCGACCTAAAGGAGCGCAGCCTCTGGGGACGAGAGTGGCCGGCCAAAAAAAGAAACCACCCATTTACTACGTTTTCCACGTTCTTTCAGATTGAACTGTTGTGCAGGCCAAACCAGACCAACAATTGAACGTCGATGGCAATTCCTTGGAAGCTCTACCTGACATGCTGGTTTCTTGGTGCCTCCGTACAAAGCGCCACGTTTTTCAGTTACAACGCCGTTGATTATTTCAACTACTTTTTCCCTGACAACTACAAGCCCGAGGTGTACGTTGGTGTCACGGTCGGAGTTGCGGCGAGTGTTGGAGCGTTGCTGATGGTCACCTTCCCACCCAAATCGAGTCATTTAACTGTACTACTCTTCACACTGACTGCCTCGGTAATTTTGCTGGTCGCAGTGGTAGTCATTACACCTCTTGACACCGGCATCTTATCCACACCAGCTCGGTTTGGTTTGGTGTTAGCCGTAATCTTCGTTGCGACCGTCGTTCAAAATGTCGGCGGTGGGGCCCTTTACAGCTTCGCTGGAAAGCATTTTCCGAAGTTTGGAGTCCACGCAGCACAGTCTGGCGG